CTTCCTTCCTTCCTTCCTTCCTTCCTTCCTTCCTCCATCCTCTCTCTCTCTCTCTCTCTCTCTCTCTCTCTCTCTCTCTCTCTCTCTCTCTCTCTCTCTCTGAGGGATGTGCCTGTGAGATGACTGGGCCCCTGGGCCCCATTTATTCATTCGACCTGGGCTCTAGCCCCTCTGGGGGCCTTCGTCTCGCACCCTAAGGCCAAAGTCTCCACTCAGGCAAGCAACCAGGGTTAGGGCAAACTTCCCCCAGTGGGGAGGGAGAAACGGAGGGGAGTTTCCCTGGCGCGAGGCTTGTCAAGCTCCGGCAGCTCCTTCGCTGGAGACGTGTGCAGCTTTTCAATGCGCATTTTAGAATCGGAAAGCTGTCCGCCCCTTTGAACCGAAGGAGAAATCGCTGCTTAGGGTTCACGAGGCCCGAGCCAACTCTAAAGCGCAGTTGCTCCGGCAATTAAATGTCCAACTCTCTCCTAACCAGAAACAGAATAAAGTGGATTGGATGCAGGGCAAAGGCACTAAACTTGTTCATCCCTTGAGCTAAACTTGGTCCTCCTCTGTGTCACCCAGGTCCTTCACTATCTTTTAAAAATAAAATAAAATTACAAATCAGTGTGTGCTGTCAAACAGCTAACTAGCTGGCCAGCTTTTTGCATTGACCACAAATGTGTACTTCAAAAGAAGAATCTGGTTGTGGTGTCAGTTGGCATCCAGGTCTGCTGTGTTTTAGCTTCTCCGGGGAAACCCAAGTACGTGGAGAGGGGCAGCTCCACCCCACGCCCACCTCTTTTGGACCCAGGGGTTAGAGACCCTTGGCTCCTGCCCGGAGCCAGCCAGGAGTGCGGCTTTAGATTTGCTGGTGCTCCCTGAAGCAGGGGACAACGGAAAGCGTTCTGGGAACCGGTTTTCTCCGGGGCCTGAAGTTTCTGGTTTCGACTGGGGGGCCTGCCAGCAGTGCAGACCTGAGACCCAGGCTGGGGCAGTTGCCGCTCTTTCATATTAGCGAGCTTCGAGCCTATTATTCTCGGCGTGCTCATATTTTCGGTAAACAGGTCGTAAGCCATTTTACAGCATCTTAATGGTTTCCTATTTGCCTTAATTATCGCAGTAATAACTGCAATGACGGGGTATGGTTTCAGTTAAATTGACTTCCCCTGAGATGGGCAGGGTTTGTAGTGGGCACTGGAGTCAGGAGGTGCGCAGAATTTTGTTTAATCGAAAAATTACCCCCACTGAACTCTTAACAAGCTTAACGTTTCTCCAGAGGGAAATGGGAAGTGTGAGCTAAGGGGGTGAGGGAGGGAGAAAGGCGGG